GGGAGGAGGCCCCGTGGCAGGCCCAGGACTCGCTGCAGGGATTATATCTCTCGGCTGGCCTGGGAACGCCTCGGTGTCCCCCCCCGAGGAGCTGGTGGGGTTAGCTGGGGAGAGGGAGGTCTGGGTGCCTCTACTGAAGCTGCTACCCCCGCGACCCGAACCCCGGACAAGCGGCAGATGATGGATGGATGGATGGTGAACATACAGGAATTGGTTGTGGTTCAGTGCAAACAATGAAGGACAACTGTCCAGTGCAAACATAACAGAGTGTGACAGGGTGTTAAATAAAGTACATCTAAATAAACATACAGTGCACACAGGCAACACGGTACACTTGATAGTGATAGTGGCATACGTGTGTAATGTGAAAAGATGGCAAGTGTGCAGCATAATAAGCAGTGAAGAAGAAGTGCAAATGTGTTTGGTACATTGGTTGTAAGGAGTAGTTATTTGAGTTACTGTTGCCTTTCTGTCAGCTTGAACCAGTCTAGCCATTCTTCTGTGACCTCTGCCATCAACATGGCATCCCATTCAAATCCACTATTGAACCCTGAACCCTCTGATGGGGAAATCAGCACCTTACCCACGGTGCCACTATGCTATGATGAGGCTCAATTTTGACCTCCTTTCTCATATACTTTTATTGTTTTAGTTTTTGTTGATTGGAAAAGTTGTCTTATTAGGTTCTTGCTTTGTGAGAAATACTGCTCCAATACTGCTTACACCTGTGCTTTCATTGGATGCTCAGCCCTTATGCATAAACAAACCGTTCTTTGAATATTTGATTCATGTGCTGTGTAATCAGGCATGCAGTAATACCCAAATACCCCCACTCTGTCCTTCACTCCCAAGAGTGTAAACCAGCAGTATGGAGGCTGGATGCTTCAAGCTGTAGTTTCACGTTTTTGACTTTCTAACCAAAAACAAACTGCTCCTAGTGTGTGAGCCCCTGCTGGACCCCCACCATCCACTCTGTCCCCTGCCTTGGGCCCTGTGCTTCCTAGGATAGGAGGAAGCTTCAGATTCACTCTGCACTGAATCAGCAGCCACAGAAGAGAACCATTGATGGTTCAATTAAAATCTTGTTACTGTTTTTAACTGTTGTTACTTTGTTTTAGGTGACTTATCTGTGGACCTTCTGGAACAGGTGGGACCTGTTCAAGCTGGATGGGTTTCATCTGAACCAGAGGGGATCCAGTGTATTGGGGAGGTGATTGTGTAGAGTACTTGAGAAGTGTTTAAACTAGGGACTGGGGGGCAGGGAGGTTAGTTAAGTATATAGGTGGGGGGAGATGGAAAGCCCTAAATAATAATGAAAGTGGACACAGTAAAAGGCCTACCCTTTGCTGTCTGTACTTAAACACTAGGAACATTAGAAACAAAATTCATGATTTAGAGGCTTTTATTTCATCAGACTCTTACAATATTATAGGAATAACAGAAACATGGTTGAGTGACAATAATGGAGAAGAATATAATATGGATGGTTACACATTATTCCATAGAGACCGGATAGGCAAGAAGGGAGATGGTGTTGCAGTATACGTAAAAGAACATTTGCAGGCAAGGGAGCTCACTGATAAAAAAATATAAGTACAGAAGCTGTATGGATAAAACTAGAGGCTAAAAACTCAAATGGCCTAATTGTTGGTGTTTGTGATAGAGCATCTAATGTAGCTGCAGAGGAAAGCTATATGATGATATCAGGATTATGAGTAATAAACATTATGTGGTGGTTATGGATGATTTTAATTTTATGTGGGATACAGTGGGACACAGTCTCTAGCTCTACTTGAACTTGAGATTGAGATTGGAATTGGTACAGGATTGTTTTTTTTACTCAGTTTGTTAAATCCCCTTCCAGAGGAAAATCCATTCTCAATCTTGTTTTCTCTAATAACTAGGATAGGATTGGAAAATTAGAGGTTTTAGAACCACTGGACAGTAGTGATCATAACATTCATGATTAAATTTGAGGTTAATTTTAACGTCCGAAGAGCAAAGTCCAAAAGAAAAATATACAATGTTAGGAAGGCTAACTTTAATGGTATGAGACTGAAACTAGAAACCGTAAACTGGATGGAGTTAAATAACAAAACTGTTGAAGAGGCATGGGAATTTT